ACCACCAAGCACTTTATAAACTTCCATTGATTGTATTGACAATATATGGAGCTTATAAGGTATTTCTACAGAAGTGCTATCTTTCTAAGCTGGACATCAATAGGAGCTGGAAGTTCATTTCTTTACAGAAAGAGACCCAAAATTTCCCTGCCACCTAATGCTGAAGTGCAGCAGAGGGCAGATTCAGATTACCTGTTAGAAGAAAACTCTTCCCCATTAGGGTGTGAGACCCTGGCACAGGCTGTCCAGAGAAGCTGTGGCTGCCCCATCCCTGGAAGTGCTCAAGGCCAGGCTGGATGGGCCTTGGAACAACCTGGGATAGTGGAAGATGTCCCTGCCCATGGCAGGGAGGCCGAGAGCCTTAAGGTTCCTTCCAACCCAAATAATTCTGTGAGTTGATGATTCTTTTACCACACACAGGTAAAAGAAACCTCACACAGGTTCGCATTATCCTGCTAAAATCCCATCAAGTTCACAGGCATCATCTGAAAACCAGGGGATGCTTGGTATGAATCCTTGCCTCATCTGGGTGAACAAGCAGTGTTTAATAAATACAGAGTCTGAGATACACAGAAAACTCTGTTTGAATGGCTGCTGTTAAGAAACATCTGAACTGGTTACTGAGGTCCTTGAGTTAGAGCTGAATCCTTCTCATTTATAAGAAAATGCCTTTTATCTGTAAATAATCTCCACTCCCCTTCCCCCCCCTTCCTTCCCCCCTCCCCCTTCACAGACTTTTGCTCAATTGTTTATCTGTGGAAGGTTACTGCATTTCTCCATGGAACAAAGAAACAGCTATTTTCCCTCACAATGTGCCCTCTTTGTTTCACATGAATATATTAACAAGAAAAGTAGGAAGTCATTGGCTTTGTCATCCTATTTATTCTGGGAATCCTGATTTCATTTTGGAGGAAAATAAGTTTTCCTTGAGGTAAAAGTCCCATTCTGTAGTCATTAGCAGCTAAGCTTTGCCTTTCTACAAGCAGCAGCATCCAGTCTGACTGGGACTATCCTTCACATTCCCTTTTCTTCCCCTTTTGCTCCCAGCCTGGCATCTCACCTTCCCTGTGGCTCTGAGAATATCATGTGGGAAAGAGCAAGACCTAGGGTACCATTTCCTGCAGTTTTGGGCAATAGAAACTTCTTTGCTTTGACTAGATACTGTGCTTGATCTCCCACTTTATTTCCTGCTTTTGTGTGGTGTGGATAATTGCAGTGATAAAACCTTCACCTTCCTCCTCTGATGGGGTGGGAAGAGCTCCCAGGCTCACTGTGCAGTTTACTTCACTGTAATAATAATAATAATAACAATAACAATAACAACAACAGTAATAATAATAATAATAATAATAATAATAATAATAATAATAATAATAATAATAATTTGAGGATACTTCTTCCAGGAAAGGTAACTAACTCTCATCAGTCACATGGTTATAGAGGCCAGCTCCCTACAGCCTATGATGCAGGAATAACAAACTGCAATATTTGTGTTTAAAAAAGTAATAGTAAATTAATTTAATCATGGGCTTATGAATATTGTTTTTGTCTCAGCCAGTAAATGAAAAATATCAAGCAGTTGGCTTGAGATCTCCTACGAAGCAGCCCACAGTATTCTGTAAATAGCCCAACAAGAAATACTTGCTTTGTAGGTTTTTGGTGACACAGAAAGAGGCAAAACTACTCATGTTTTTTTAAGGCTGGAAATTTTGGATGACTGATGAATATAACATCCATAATGTTCCAGGATTTTATTATCTATATTAATAAAATTCATTCAAAGTGTTTAATTTCTGCTCCACAATTAATCAATGTGACCAGCACTCAGCAGACTAAAAGGAGCTCACTGGGAGCTGGTCCTCTGGAACTCAGCACTCATCCTGAATGGTGGGCAACCAAAAGGCATCAACAGATAAAGGGAAAGACTGGCAAACAGGATGTGTGTGGTCAGAACTGGTATGAGTGATTAGCCAGAAGTGCTATTTTCTTCTTTATTACAAATAATATATGAGGTTAATGTGTTGGGTTACTAAAACCCACTGACAAATTGTGAATAGGAGGACAACCACATTAATGTGTTAGGTCACTAAAAATGGGTTAATGTGCTAGGTTACTAAAACCTACTGAGATTGTGAAAAGGAGCCCAACCACATTCCATGGGTTGCCCATGAAGAGACTGTGTGTGGAACAGGTGGCTGGAGGCATTACCTGGGCAAAGAGGTCATTGTGTCAAACCAGAGCAACCAGTTCAGACTTGCTTGGCACCAGGTGCATGTGTAAACATCCTGTCTCCTCTTCTGTGACCTCCTGGCTATGTGTTCTGCTCTGCAGCAATGGGGATTGCCAGGATCTGCACAGGGGAACAGCCTCAGTAACTCCCCTTTTTTTGGACCTTGACCCATTGTAAGTGCTCAGAGAGGCTTGGCTGTGTGGGTGTGGAGCAGTGAGGTGTCCTGGGAGGCTGGTGCAGGGAGATCCCTCTGCAGGAATGCTGCTGGGCTGGGGATAACACAGGTGGGATGTGACAGCAGCCTCATGGGTCTCAAAGGATACAGAGGGCAGGGGTGTGATGCTGTGCACACAGGGACAGACTGCAGTGAGCCTGAGATTCTCCTCTCTCCCCCACCCCCGTGCTTGAGCCAATTCAGCAACTGGAGCAACTTCTCCCTTTAACATTTGTAACATAAAATGTTTTTTATAAGAGCCTGTTCATCTGAATCATTTTCCCTCCTCCTCGCTCTCATTTGCAGATAAGAACTATAATCCCAGGGTACAGCTGAAAGTTTGCAATGCAAAAATCACAGACTGCTGAGATTTTCTTATGCCTGCAAGGGATTCTGGTAAGGATCTAAACAGTGAAAACAAGGCACAGCAATTAGTGTTTGGATGCAGGGTCATTTTTAGCTCTCTACATAGGGCAGGCAATGCCATGAGCTATAGAGCATTGCAGGGCACTGCTCAAGTGGCTGCCTCAGCAAGGGCAAGGCTGCTGTTCAGGCCATGTGAAAAGGCAGTAATGGGAGGTGTGCAATTCACATAGAAACACAGAACTAGTACAAGAGTGCACACTATTATTATGTGAAAGAGCATTAGAGCAGCAAAATTATTTTGAGGAGCTGGTTCAGTGCCAGCATATTAGCAAAACATGAAATAGTTTTACAGACATTTGCGCAAAGATGGAGAGAGAAGGGGAAAGAATGCCAAATGCAATCTGCAGGAAAAGGCCTTTCTACCCTCAGTAAAGGTAAGAGAGAGGCAGAAGGGAAGTCAGCATCAGCGAGGAGGGCACACCTCACATTGCCTTCAAAATAGAGACTTTGACACAGACTGATCAGAGAATCATTAAAGTTGGAAAAGACCTCCAAGATCACCAAGTCCAGGCTTTGACTAAACCATAGCACTAAGTGCTGTGTCCAGTCATTCCTTGAACACTTCAGGGATGGCCACCTCACCACCTCCCTGGGCAGACCATTCCAGAGTTTGAAACCTTTACTGTAAAGGAATTCCTTCTGATGCACAACCTCAACCTCCCCTGATGCAGCTTGAGGCCATTTCCTCTTGTCTTGTCATGATTGCCTGGGGGAAAAGACCAAACCCCACCTTTGTACAGCCTCTTTTCAGGTACTTGTAGAGTGATAAGGGCTCCCCAGGATAAAAACCTCCATCAGCTCAATGTCCTTCCTGAATTGAGGGGCCCAGAACTGGACACAGCACTCGAGGTGTGGCCTCACCAGTGCTGGGCACCTGCCTCAGCCCATTGATCCAGCCTGTCCAGATCCCTCTGCAGAGCATTCTAACCCTCCAGCAGATGAACACTCCCACCCAGCTTGGTGTGTCACCTGTGACCTTACTGAGGGTGCTCTCCAGCCCCTCGTCCAGATAATTAATAAAGATCTTAAACAGGATTGGGCCCAATGCTGAGCCCTGGGGAGCCCCACTGGTGACCAGTCACCAGCTGAATGTGGCACCATTCACCACCACTCTCTGGGCTCAGCCATCCTGGCAGTTTTAACCCTTTAGAGAAGAGTGGGCTCCAAGCCATGGGCTGCCAGCATCTCCAGGAGAATCCTGTGGGAGACAGTGTTGAAGGCTTTGCTGACGTCTAGGTAGACTACATGCGCAAACTTCCCTACTAGGCAGTCACTTGGTCATAAAAGGATATTCCATTTTATTAAGTTCTCAGACTGAAAACAACTCCGGATATATTTGCATTTTCCTACCCATCCTCATACAGTTACTTTTATTTGTCTTCAAACCACACTGACTGTTCATTCTGTTCTCACTTTCTCCTGCTCTTCTCCTAGACAAACTGGTCAGGCATCGATTTAGTGATCTTAACTGCAGCATTCAGAGGGGAAAACAATTTTGCAGGCTGAACGTCCCTCCAAGAGGTCCTCAGTTCTCCTACTTTGCCTGGAGAAAAGCATTTTTCTGGGATTTATTTTCTCCCATAGAGCAGAGAACAGTAATGTTAAATGCTTAGGCACAAGTAATTGATAAGAGAGCGGAGGCAGCTTCTCTATAAAAAGAGAAGCTCTCTCTTTCTCCTGGTGGGCATGAACAGATGCAGCCATGCTGTAAATAATTAATTGTTTAAAAAGACACATAGATCTACATTTTAGATGGAATATAGGTAAAATACACAGATAATAATATATGATTATGTATGTATACATGATAACATATAGTAGTATCACATAGAGGTGAGTATATTTCAAAAGACTGAGCCATCCACGCATCTTTTGACTAATTTTGAGGCATCAGCCTCCTGCCCAGCAGGATCACAGGTCCCAACAGAACACCTGAGGCTTTTCTAGGGATGGAGACCAAACTCTGCAGAGTGATTTCTACCCAATGCTGCTCCACCTACTTGCTACTGAAAAAAAACCCAAAAGCAACCAAACAAAAATCCCCAAACAACAACAACAACAAAAATCGTTTTAGGAAGCTGGAAGACGAGCAAATGGATGAAGCGTTCGGTCCTGCCCGAGGAGCCTCCGATGCCCTCGTGCCCGCACCGACTCTCGGGCTCCGCTCCGCCCGGCCGTGCCCCCGCGCGGCGCCGCCGCTCCCACCGCCCGCCCGGGCCGGGCTCTCCCGGCAGCGCCGCCCCGCGGGCGGGGCGGGCCGGGCCCGGGGCGCTGCGCTCGGTGTGCGGGGCGGGGCGGGAGCCGCAGCACCTCCGTGGGAGCGGCCGCGGGACGCGCTGCCCGCAGCAGGTGCCGCTCGCCCGCCAGTCCGGCCACCCCCGCGGGCTCCCGGCATCCGAACCGCGCGGAGGCGGCAGGAGCGGAGGCGGCTCCGCCACCACCACCTGTGGCGGCGGGATGGCGGAGCTCGACATCAGCGAGGAGGCAGTGATGGGCTTCCTGAGGGAGCGCGGCGGGCGGGTGCGCAACACCGAGCTGGTGAGCGCCTTCCGGCCGCTGCTGGAGGCCGCCGGGGCCGGGGAGGCGGAGGGGCGGGCGGCGCGGCGGGAGCGGTTCAAGGCGGCGGTGAACGCCGTGGCCACCGTGAAGGAGACCGACGGCGTCAAGTTCGTGGTGCTGAAGCGGCAGTTCCGCGCTGCCCCGCCGGCGGGGGGCGATGGCGGCGCCCCTGTCCCCGTTGCCATCCCCGAGCCGGTTCCCGTCCCCGAGCCGGTTCCCGTCCCCGAGCCGGTTCCCGTCCCCGAGCCGGACCCCGCCGAGACGCCCCCCGAGGAGCCGCCGGGGCCGCGGGCCGTGGCCGAGCTGCGGGGCCTGTTCCAGGGCGGCGGCGGCGGGGTGCCCCTGCCCGGGGGCGCGGCGGGGGCCCGGCGGGAGCCCCCGCCCAAGCCCTGCATGCTGCCCGTGCGCTGCGTGCCGACCCCCGCCGCCCCGGGGCCGCCCGAGTCGGCCGCCAGCCCGCTGTCCCCGCCGCCGCTGGACGAGGAGGCCGGGTCCCGCTCGCCGGGGCTGCGGAGGGGGCCCAAGAACCACCGGGCCAGCGAAGACACCGTGGTGCCCCTGGAGCAGGCGGAGCACCAGTGGCTGGTGCTGGCGGCCGACGGGCAGTGGACGCAGCAGCTCCACGGGCTGCTGCTGGGCGACGCCAGCCTGGCGGCTCGCAAGGACTTCATCTCCGGCTTCACCGCCCTGCACTGGGCCGCCAAGAACGGCAACTGCGACATGGTGACCAACATCATCCGAGCGGCCGAGAAGGGCGGCGCCCGCGTCAATGTGGATGCCAGGTCGCATGGTGGGTACACGGCGCTGCACCTGGCTGCCATTCACGGCCAGGAGAAGATCATCAACATGCTCGTCTACAGCTACCATGCCAAGATTGACCTGAGGGACTACAGTGGGAAGAAGCCACACCAGTACCTAAAGGAAGGGACATCCCTTACAATTAGGCGTTTGCTGGGGGACCCCAGCCTTTCCCAAAACATGGAACACTCCGTGCCCATCAAGAAATCTACAAAGCTTGCGGCTTCAATCTTGAGCTCCACGAGCACTTTCCTGGGAGTCATATCCGATGACATGGCTTTCTATGATCTCACCAAAGGTTTAAGGAGGCCCTCAACTTTAAACAAGCTTCTGACTGCCACTACGGGCCCGAGGAGGAAGCCAAAGATCAGAGGGGGCTTCCCTTCGTATTCCTCACTCTCTGAGGTAGCAGAGGAGGAGGAAGAGGTTGTCGTGAAGCGCAGACCCGTTTCTGAGCTGTTCTTTGGCCACTAGCCTCTGCCTTACTGTGATCAAAATGGTTTAACAGCACGGCTGCTGTCTCAGCTTTCTCTTGCAGAAGCAGTTTGGATTTTTTTTGTCTCTGTGTCTGTCTTTTTGGATTTTTAACTGAATCAGTGATAGGGTCCCCATCAAAAGGCCACAGCATGAAACCCAGCCCCAGGTGCCTGTGGAAAGGGAGCTGCCAGAAAGTGCTATCCATGCTGTATGTACCATCGGGCTGATCTCTTGGTGGAGACCACAAACTTTATACTTAATGGTTGAAAAACTGAAACAGCTTGTGTGTGTGTGGACAGGTCAGAATGCCTGAGGTACAGCCTTCTTGATCTGTGTTCTTCAGCTGGAGAGCAGAAGCAAGATGAAGGATTGCATATTTTACACTGTGAACAGCAAGCTGGTAGCTGGCTACTTTAACAAGGCTTGTTATCTAATGGGATTAAATTATCAGAGGAAAGATGCATAGTTTTCTATGATGTTTCTGATTATTTTGGTAGTAGAAGAAGGATATTTCTATTTACAAAAATTGTATACTTTTTCAAAACAAAGTTTCTCACTTTGAGAGCTTCTCACTCAGTATTTCACATCAGAAATACTAACATAACAATCTCAATTGTTGCCTGATGCATTTTATTAGATAAATTACTTAAAAAGATAGACCCTGACCTTCAGCACTCATGTCACCATGACTTGTCTACCTCAGTTTGAAAGCTTGGCTAGTGGTTGAAGATTTTCTCTCTTCCTGAAGGACCTTTTTACTAGGTGGTACTTACCACATGTCTTGATGATACTGTGAACATTTAAACTTCACTGTTGTTCAATCAACTTTAGCTGAATAAAGAACCTTATTGATAGTGAAAAATTGAACTGAAAACCTGGAAATTGGATCTGTCAGAGTTTCTCACTAGCCAACTGGAAACAAAGTTAGGCTTCTATGTCTGATTCTTTAAAACTTGGCCCATTTTGACCTATTTACAATAAATATTTATAAACATGGGGCTATATGTAATGTTAGGTGTTTCATGATAGAGCCTCTGCATGACCTCTTGAAGCAGTGTTTATCTCAACAGAATCATTGACCTAAAATGAACTCTTCTTCTTTTAAATTATAAACATAATTGTTCTATATATAGAACTACACATAGCTCAAAAAGCATGCTAACTGCATGTAAGGTTTGCAGTGAGATTATTATTATTATTTTAATTACTGCTTGGTTAAAGTTAATGCCAAGAGGCAGAGCTGTGAACAAAATGTCTGACTTCTGGGGCAAGCCTGCGAAACCAGCATGTTTTCTCTAAAACTGTGATAAAAACCTGTATCATTGAGAGGTGCTGAAGGTGAGAGCAATGCTGCACTGGCTCTCTTTGGGTTTCTGCACTGAAACACCAGTTTGCATGCTTTGCCTTTCCTTCCAGGTCAGTGACTTGAGGAATGTTTGTTTTTTTCTGCCTTGCATTAAACCCAGTACTTGTAATTGGTTCTAATTGGCTTGCCCTAAACACCCACAAGGAATGCTGCAGGACTGAAGATGAAGGCACTGCCCTCTTTCCTTCAGAACACTCTCCCTGAAGTTCCTGGAGTTGGTGACCCTGTGATCAGAGGTTGCACCCAGCTCTGATGCACCTGTTCTGGGAGGAGGCTGGATTATTCTGCACCGGTCTGCTTCTGGATTGAACTAATTAAGTTGTTAAGCAGAGGTTAATGATCAAGCACCTCATGACTTCTATATCTGGAGTAGGGTTTAAAAAAAATAAAATCCAATTTGCTCTCTAGCTGTTGGTAACCATTGACCAGCGTGGTCCTTTGAGGCTGTGATTTGTGCTGCACTCTGCCAGCTTGCAGAGTTCTGGGAAAAACAGGGCTCTGTTCTAAAGAGTCTTTCCAAGTGTACAGGCATAGAACATATTTTTTTCTCCCCTGAAACCACAGAAGTGTGTGTGTACATTCAAGTTACCTCTGAGGCACTGATACTGCCAGGTGAAAGTGTTCTGTTTCTGTGGGAATTGCAAACACTCCAGTTTGGCTTGGCCTTATGAGAAGTTTGTTCAATAATTATGAGTATAGGCTTGATACCTGTTCAGACAACATTGCTGAACTTTAGTGCTCATTTAGAGTCAAGCCTGCATGAGGCAGAGGCAGGGTTCAAGGATGGAGTGTTTTGTGTTTAAAAACCCCACCTGACTAATCTGGAGAGCATGGCTGTGATTTCACCCTGGGAAAGTAGGGTGAAGGTTTCATCGCTTCTCTATTGTTTTATCAAAGTCACACCTGAGATAAGACTTCATTGCAACACAACGTGTATCACCAAGAAAATTCTGCATTAGTCCTTCCTCAGAGGCATGGAAGCGATGTGTGGTGTGATAGAAGATGGCCAGCAGCAAGAGCCCTCTAACAGCATTCCCCAGGGAGTGCTGCAGGCTTGGCAGGAGGCTGGTGTCACACAGCTGCTCACAAGGCCAGGTGCAGTGGGTGGGGTAGGCTGGGCCAGGCTCTGCCAGCAAGTTTGTGCAGTGACTCAGCTGATTCCTCCTCCTGGTTGAGCTGGTGAAGGCAAAGATGGTATTTAGGGAGGCTGGGATGAGTACATGAAGTGCAGTACAGCTTCAGGTGCAGATGAGTACTGAGAGGTACTGAGAACACACTGCTGTCATCTCACAGGTATGTGTAATGCCTTCAGTTTGGAGTAAAACCAGTCCATCAGCCTGGCTGTGTTTTGGGTTCCAATGTCACCCTTTAAACCGTGGGAAGGGACACTGAAGGGTGATGAGTGATCCATGAGAGTGTTTTCCTGCAAAAGGCTAAAGCAGGACTGTTCTATGAGTCCCTCAGCTTGAGTGATTCTCCTTAATTCTCATTTTCAAGCCCAAATCTGTCTGGCTGAAGGCAGTAGGATTTTCACCTGAATGAATGACAGCTTTATGCAGGATATTTTCACAGGAACGGCTGAGAGGAGAACTGGGTTCCCTCAGCACACTGGGGCAGGGGCTGTGCCATGGGCTGGGCATGCAGCCTTTGAATCCCCGGTCCAGCCAGAGCTGCCCAAGGCACCATCAAAGCTAAGAGCAGGAAAGGTAAAAACCAAAAACCTGAGGCCCCCCTGGCTCTGCTCCTGCCCCCTGGAGAGGGCTGAGTGGTGGGGAAGGCTGGAGATGGAAGGCACAGATCAGGCACAGGGGCAGGACTCAGCAGCTTGGTATTTTGGTATTTTGCCTTGGTTATTTGCCTGCCCTCTCAGCATGTCTCAGTTTTCCTGCTATAAAATGTAGATAATCACCTTGGTCACTTCTTTAAAGTACACAGTCAGTACTGATATGCAAATTGAAATCAAGATAATGTTTTTAGGCCTGTGGGCAGCATGAGCAGTGTCATTCCCCCACCCTGTGAATGCGCATTCAGTGGAGTGCCTACACAAATGAAAACTAGCTCTGATTTTAGTTCAGCAGCACTAGGGATCAGGAAAGCCACTGTTTGCTGACCCTGGCTCAGTCTGCCTGCTAAGGGTAACTTGGTTTGTCTGTTCCTTGGCACATTTTGTTCTGAGGAATATCAGCTCGAAGACCTGCTCTGAAGAGCTCTGCAAACAAACCCTAAACCACAATTTTGCACACAGGGACAGACAGACTTTGTCCTCTTGGCTGTGGCTGTTTGAGCAGTGTGAGACAGTGTGGTTGTGGTCAGGCTCACAGAGAGTTTTGGCTCTCTCCATTCTCTTGTGAGTGCTGCACAGAAACATGGACTATGAAAACCCAGGAAACCCCGTTCCTGCACTGCAGAGGAGTCTTAATGAGATTTCAGCTTCATCACAAACCCACAGTCCAGTGGGAGAGTCACAGTAACTCCAAAAGACCAATGGGAGCTGCAGCCACCAGCTGGAGGTAGAGGAAGCATTTCTAGACAGTCCCCTGATTGCCCATTGCTCATCTCTTGCTCCCTTTCTTCATGTTTCCACCATGACCTACATTCCTTGGATGTACTTGCCTCCTGATTTGCATATTAATCTGAATAAAATAGCAGCATGGCAGTTTTTGCCCTGTCCAGTAGTTTGTACTATTGTGGGACTCCCCAAATTAAGAGGTTGTTAACAGGACTTGGCCAGCATGTAGCATGGGCACAAACAGTGTGGTGTTTGTTTGCTGAAGGGGGAAGAGAGGCAGAGCAGGACAGCACAGATCAAAAACTCTGTGTCCTAATGAAGAGTATTTCTATTCCAGTTTCAAGGTTTATTTCAGCACAGATCAAAACTCTGTGTCCTAATGAAGAGTATTTCTATTCCAGTTTCAAGGTTTATTTCAGCACAGATCAAAAACTCTGTGTCCTAATGAAGAGTATTTCTATTCCAGTTTCAAGGTTTATTTCAGTAATTTATAAGACAAAGCAAGTCATTAAGCACATTGAGCCTTTATACTGCCTGTGTAACCTGGAACCACACAAACTAGATCCATATTGTTAATATTAGCACAGCTTTAGTACATCTTCCCTTTCTGTGAAGAGAAAATAGAAATGTGCACAATAAGAATTATCTGGCAGTGTTCAGCTTTCACTTTGTTGGCTGAACTTCTGCTCTATGTTTGTCCCAGGTAGGGCATTACTTTTGTTCACCTGGAAGCATGAGTTCTTAGCCAAACCCAAACCACCGTTTCCCAAGAGGAAAATCATCCATCCCCATCCCTTGAGATCCTCCAGACAAGAAGAGAGACTCCAGCTGAGAAGCACAGCAAGCACTGTGGAGTCACAGCTGACACAAACCAAATAATGTTCATTTCCATTGAATAGAACCTGACACCCAAACACACCAGCCCTTGACGGCAGGTATTGGGGTGCCAGGCCTTCCCTGGTGTCCTCACCCACAGGTTCCTGCATGAGGCAGATGGTCACACCACTAAGATTCACCAGTATGGTGACAATAACAAGCTGCAGTGGTACAGACAGACTTTCTCACCATGATTTTTGTGTTGTATTTTCTTTCACCACTCTCCCATGGTAGCTTTCCCCTTTGCAACAAAGAGCTGCAGCTTCACTCCAGGCTGGGACCAGCTCCAGACCAGACCTCTCCAAGCCGCCACTGTGACATCAAGTGACACTGACCCTGGGCTGAGACCCAGAGGGGGGTCCTGCAGGCACCAGCCATGCCATCAGGAGCTGTCACAGGGCAGGGGACTCTGGAGAGGTTGTTTCACAAGTGGTTCCCTTTTGAGGTAGTTTGGGATGTTGCTCTTCCACCATGGGCTGAGCCCATTACAAAGACCTCTGGGTCTTTATTCACATTTTTAGAAATGTCTCTTATTGTCTAAATAAAGACTATCAGTGCAGCCCACATTGTCTCTCTGTGGATTTATCTATGAGATGACTCAGCTTCGAGGCTCATGTGGTATTTTAGAGTCTCTGATAACCTTTAATGCCTCTCTCATTTAGCAGTGAAATTCAAGTGCTGCTTCTTGAGAGCCTTTTGTGAACCCCAGAGGTTGCATGATTCCTACAGGCTGATTATTCTTTAATGTCTATGTGGGCTCCCTCCAGGCACAGAACATTAGCTTTGCAATGCTGCTCTGAGTTTATTTAAAAAAAAATTATTCAGATGGTTGCCATGAATTCTCAAAGCAGAGAGAACATCCTTCTTATTAAATACAGCTCTCAAGCACAAAACAGATCTTTTTGCAGAGTACATCTATCTAACAGAGAACTCCTGCAGTTCTCTGTTCTTTAATTAGCTCCATATGCAAAACGCCCCAGTGAAGAAAATGAGGCTGGGGTTTAGAACAAAATAATGAAAATCCTTCCATTTAGTGCCTAAAAGGCTGAAACAGCAGCTCCTGGTCCAGCAGTGACTCCCACACATTGCAGTGGATGTTAAATGCAGTTCTAAAGGAGTGACTGGGTTTAACATGTCTCAGTCACTGCCAGAACTGATCTTAGCCGGGCACTGCTGGGCTCTCAGCTGGGCAGGATGCATTGCTGCTGTCAGCTGGGCAGGATGCAGTGCTGCTCTCAGCCAGGCAGGATGCACTGCTGCTGCTCCCAGCCAGGCAGGATGCATCGCTTCTTTCAGATGGGCAGGATGCACTGCTGCTGCTGTCAGCCGGGCAGGATGCATTGCTTCTCTCACCCGGGCAGGATGCACTGCTGCTCCCAGCCGGGCAGGATGCACTGCTGCTGCTGCTGCTGCCTCTGCCCGCTCCCGCAGCGGCACCACAGGCTCATGCTCTGCCTCGGGCAGTACCAGCCATATTCTCAGCCCAAAATCCGGCCCACGTGCTTCGCCCAGCACGACAGGAGCTGTTCTCAGAGCTATTGCAGAGTGTCCCCCTCGGCACTGGTGTGTGGGTGGCCAAGCGAGATGCAGAGATGGCTGCTGGCATCCCACAGCTCCCACGCCGGCACAGCGCGGGCAGAGCCGGGCGCTTGCGTTCTGCCTCTTTCACTCTCCCCGCTCCGCAGCCCCGCTGCTCTGCACTCTCCTGGCTGCCGCTGTCATTAATTCACGCAGACAGCTCCCCGCAGGGCTCCGGTTACAGTTCTCCATGGAGCTGGGCTCACATTGTGCGTTACCTGGGAAAGGATCAGGCTGGCAGGCAGCAGCCAGGGCTGGGCGGTGGCGGGGATTCCCTGCCTGCTCTCCTGGAGGGTCAGGTACCAGGGAACTTCTTCATTCCTTGCATTTCCCCACTCACACAACCTGACTCCGTTTACCTAAGAAGTCTCCCGGCACGGGGGCGTTGCCAAGGAGCAGAAGTCTCTTGCAGCTGAGGCTTTCCAGGGCTCCGGGCAGAGGTAACTCGGTGCCCTTGCTGCAGAAGTCACAGGTGGAAGGCTGCTGAGTAATGGTATGAGCAGTAATTATATACAAGCACTGCACAGGGTTTTATTTCCATAACCCCTGTGGAGCTGCTTCCTCAAAAGAGTTCCAGTTACTGCTATTGAGAGTTCAAGTCTTGATTTTGTCTTCTGATGGTAAAGGGTCAGAAAAAACTGTGTGGAGCAGTGTGGGGTCACAGTGTTGTAAGATGAAGATGCTCTGTGTTTCTGGCCTTCTACACTGCATGAGCTGAAGTTGGGAAAAAGCTGCCATGTGTTGATATGGGGATGTAACCAGTGCTCTGAATACCAAACTTTCAGCAAAAGGCAATAGGATTCAAGAGCATGTGCTCTTGGCTTCAGTCTGTTCTTTCAGAGGCCACAGCTGACTGGAGCAGAAAGGGGCACTTACCATGACTGAGTATGTTGGTGTGCCAGGAATGCTGCACATGGCTGAGGTCCAGATGAACTTTCACCATTACCCTCCTAATAAATTTTTAACAAATGATCAATAACAAAACTGAGACCCACTTGACAATCCAGACCTGCGGGTGCTTTTAAAGGGATTCTCTGCTTGCCTGCAGAGAGGTTCTGATGCTGCCACTGTGTCCAATTTTCACTTTGCTGGAACACTGTAACAAGAACTCAATTGTTTTATTGTTTTGGTTTTTTTTTTGTTTGTTTTTTTTTTGACACAGTCAAAGTTATTTTTAATTATTGCTCTTTGAAGCATACATGTGAGTGCCAGGTGTGGAAGGGGTAGCAATTGCCCTCCCCATGGCACAATGCCCTAAAAAGATAAGCTAAACAGGGCAGACCTATTTTTCCCCTTAAAAGCAAGCATTAGCTTCAATTACAGAACAATTGTTTCCAATCAGCTGTTTTTCCCTCAACTAGGAATAATAAGAATAAAGTGCACCTTCAAGTCAGGCTTCTCAAATCATGTAAACAGCTCATTTAACATTGCTTGTATTTTATAAATTCTCCACTGACTCCATTAACATTGCTTCTGTTATTTTAAAGACCATTTTCAAAAGGCAGCTTTCTGATTTATGGATTAAAAACCTGTATTTATGGCCTTCTGAGAACCATTGTGCAGATTACTCACAGGTCTACAGTGCCTGGCCATTTTCCCTCAGGTATGCAGACAAACACACTTGGCAGCTTGGTCACTGTGCTCCCAAGTTCTTGTGCCCAGTGACATGCAGTTCCAGAGAAGGTTCCTCAGGAGCAGGACAGCTTCTCTCAGGGGTGGGGATACTTCTGTAGCCAGGACACACAGCAGTGGTAAAACACTTCTTGGTAAAGCCCAGCATCATGGCACAATGAACATCTGTTTTGGCTGTGGAAGAAACCTGAGTTTAATTAGTGGCTCCCTTATTCATGGTCTAGGTATGTAGTTTAGGCTGAATATTGTTCTGACTGAATTCTTGCAAACAAAACACAGTGAGATTTTAAATACAGCAACATCACTGGTTTGACTCAAAGCAAACACTGGCTTAAAAGAGTTTTGCCAAGGGATTTATATGAAGTCTCACTGAAACTGAATAATCTCTTCTGGTGATTCCTCCTGGCCCAGTCTGCAGCAGAGCTTTTCCCCACATGTTCAGGCTTTTTGGGCACACTGACAATTGAAAACTACCTAAAAACAACGCCCTGAAGGTGCTGCTTGAAAAACAAATTCTTCAAAAGTACAGCAAGGACTTTGCAAATGACTGTGCAGAAATAAGCTCAGAGTTTGTGATTCATAAAACTGTTCATTTAAACTGCTTACATCACTTATTGGCTCTTTGATGTCAGTGAAGATCACCCTTTTCCTGACCTCCTCTGAGCAGCCTACCAGGATTACACAGAGCCAGGAAAGACTCATGGCTGACAACTGCCAAGAAAGGAAGTAATTATTTTCTTTCATTACAGTGTATTTTTACTGTGTCACACATATAAACAGTAGAAATGAGTGCAGGAGTTTCACTGAAATGGTCCATAACATTTCCTATGGCTTTGTGCAATCACCAATTCAAATCTGAACACCCACATAATTTTTCATTTCAAACACTCAGCCCGCCCACAAGAGGCAAATATTTGTATGGTTCTTTTATTGAGATGATGTCAATGTGGAAACAGATGGACAGACAAGAGGAAGGGGAAATACACATTCAGTTAATAGGAGCAGTGAATCCTATCAGTCATGCCCACAAGGCAGTTTCTTACACACTGTCCAAGAGGAGGGCATGTCCAGAGTGTGCCTGGAGCATCCCAGAACATCTGAACACTTGTCAACGTTGTGACACAAACAGGATTGGAAGAATCCACCAAACTGAGCCCTGTGATGAGAGTGCCTGTGGATTTCCAGGGAAACACCATTAATAATATATAAAAATGTCTGGGCTGGTGTTAGATGGGGATACTTTGCTCGAGATTTTCTAATTGTTCTTCGAAAAATTTAATCTGCTCCTCGAGGTCTTTCTGTTCAATCAGCAAGGAGGTCTTGACTTGAACAAAGTGCTGATAGTCCTGGAGCTGCTGCTCTGTCAGGTATTTGGCAAGGATTCCAGAGACCACACGTTCTCTCCTGTCCAGATTCTCCTTCAGGTCCTTTGCATCCTCCCGCTGCCGAGACAAGAGCTGGTGCCGTTCATTCAGCGATTGCTAATGGAATAAAAAACAAAGCAGCACACCATGAGAACCCATCATTCCTGGCAGGCTCTGCTTCTTCATTTGGAAGCCACAGTCGATTTAATTTAATTACTTCCTCTTGTGGGCTTTGTGTTCCACCTGAGCTTTTTCTCAATTGAATTACTCATTCTTGTGGCTTGTAAGGTAAAGACACAGTAAATGCCATCAAGGCTCACTTCTCCTATGCTGCCCTCATGAAAAAAAATCAATAAACTTAACATTCTGGTCCTTTGAAAGTATCCTGTAACAATCTTCAGTCAATTAGAAGCTCTTTAAGGTATGTATCTTTGTGTTTTGTGTGTTGCATGTGGCCAGAGTGCTGCTATCATATTAAAAAGATAGAGTGGCTTCTATTAAAAGGTCTGGGTTGATGCCAAGATGATTTTTTGCTTTTTTTTCTTTTATATACCTTTTATTTATCCTCAGTACTCTTAGCATGCATATTTGTAATTGCTTATGTCTGATAACTTAGCATAGTCCTGGTATTCTGTTAGGCCAGGAGACCAAACACCCTGGAGGTGGGAAAACCCTACACTGTCTTGGGAAGCCAAGGTGCTCTCTAGAAAATATCCTGTAACTGAGATTTAGCCCATCCAGGGGGGAATTCCTCAGGATGGGGGGACATCATGCCATTCATCCAAGCATCTCACTGGGGCATCTTTGTTAGATATGCTAATTTGTAAGGTCTATAAATAGTATATGCCATCTATTGTGTGCTTGCATTGCAGTGCATTCCACCTTAGCAAAGTGGGGCACCACAAAGATCCTTATTAAATACCCAGGTAAAATCCCTTTATCCCTTAACTGTGCCTGGCTCTCAATTTTTTAAGACCGTGGAAAGGCACCAGTGTGATAAAATAACTGTGATCTGTTCATCAAAGGCTTCTGTTGAAGAGTTGGGCCTTGCTTGTTCTACAGGATTTTTGTACCTTTCACCTTTAGCTAATTCTCATTCAGCTGTAATAATTTTCATGGGGATTACAGTGCTGGAAAATGTTCTCTTTCCAGACAGTGTACTGACACCCTAAAAATTGAGTAAAAGATTGAGACTGCTGTTTTTGCTGACACGAGGGCAAATGCAGTCAGTGGGAGATGGTTGTTAAAAATGTTGGCACTTAACCAAGTCTTCACTAGGCTTTTTATTCAAATATTTGAATAAATTATTTAAATGCGCTTCCTATGAAGACTATAAATGTAATACCAGAGAAACAACACCCTTCCTGCCTACCATAAAGTGAAAGTAAGCATGAAATACTATTTAAAATTATTCACATTAACACAACTGACATTTTGGAAGAGGTGAATCCTGGCTCTCTGTGTCACACTGCATGAGAGAACCTTTTTAGTGCTAATCTGTGTGTGAACCAAACCAATCCAGCAGCTCTGCTGTCTCTCACTCTTGGGTTCTGAGTTGTTGGAATGGCTCCTGAGGTATTAAAAAGCCTTTTTTCCCAGTCTGCACTCAAGGAAGAAGTTGATATTCCTCAGGTCTGGTTTTCAAGGTTGTTTATTTTCTCTTATCTGATACATTCTTTTTCAGACCTGCTGAGATCTGTCCAGGAGGTCTGGTTGAGACCCACTAACTGCCCTCAGGGCAGTGTTATCTTTTTATACTAAAAACTATGTGTACTTTATTTACAGTCATTTTCCAATACCTATCACCTATGTTAGACAGTCTGTTAGACAGTCTGTACCCTAAACCAATCCAGAAGTGCCACCATCACAGCAGAAGATGGAGGACAAGAAGAAGAAGAAAGACAGGACATGCCCAGAGCCCTCCATCTTGCCTCTTGAACCCTCATTCTAAAAACCCCAAAAATCTACTTTTCCACCCTGTGATGAACTCACTGTCATTCCATTCAAACCCTTGTGGCTTGTAACTCCTCACACAAAGTTGGTAATTGTCTGCATGGGTTAAAATCGAAGGCGCAGGTGTCTTTGCCTCTATGCCAAGGTCTCTGAGTCCTCCAGGGCAGTGAGAGGGATGTCCTGGTTCAGCCATCTCACCTTCTCCTCAGGCTCTGTGTTGCCATCCGTCCTGCTGAGGGCGTTCTGCACGCGGGCCAGGCGGCTGGACAGGCAGAGCAGGAGGCTCAGCACCTTCTCCAGGTCCCCAATGAACATCAGGTAGCGCTCAAACTCCTGCGGCTGGCACAGCTCCCTCAGCAGCACCTCCAGCTCCTCGCCCCACCTGGCACATTCCCTGACTTCCAGGAGAACCAGCTCCTGCTCCTCCCACAGTGCCTGCAGCCTGGATTGGAGGCTGGCCATGAGTTCCAGCTGCAAAAAGGAAAAATAAAAAATCACAGGAACTGTTACTGCCCAGGAGAATCCGTATCAGTTCTAGAGAATGGATTTTCTTCACACTGTCTTGGCCAAATTTTTGACTTTTAAAATCATTTTAAGCTACAGGAAAGAAAAAAGGGGGAAAAAAGCAGCAGTATTTTCTAAGCTGTACTTAATTCTCAAACTCTGAAAAGCAAATTACTGGTAATCACCCTAGCTGCTGATATGTTCTCTGGCTCAGAGAGCTTCCAATCAGTCAGAAGGGAACTGCAATAAAGATTACACCATGATTACACAGAACTGTTGTTCTAAGACATGAGCATGAAGTCCCAGCTCTGTACCAAGCTTTAGAAGAATTGATTGGAATTTCATTATCATATGCACAGAAAAAGTCAGCTCCATGGGCAATCCAAGCAGGCTATGGTGCCTGGGTAGCAAAGTAATCAGAGGAGGCTGTTTCAAAGGGAAATTATACGGAAAAAGGCCTCAAGACTTGAGTGGGAGCACACCATCAGTTCTTTGGAAGTTGAACAGTGCCACCATGAACCGGAGCAGCAGTAAGACAGCAGGAGGAGCCTCAGAAAGGCAGATTGTCATACCTGAGATGGAGCATGGCCAGGGGAAATGCCCACCTAACTATGCAAAGCTACATAATCACCCCTGCAAGCTCCAAACTTCTGTCCCTGTCCAGCTGTGCCCTCCCTTCTCTGCATGTATGGAATTAATCAGACACTGGTATGTGCAGAAACTGCTACCAGCTCCCAGAGTAAAGAATATTTCTTATTTAGGCTGCCAGTTCTAATTAATTTTACAGATTTTGAGATTAGAATTGAGTGCTAAATTGGGAGTTTGCTGCTGCTGCACAGGAGCTGGTTGTGCAAGGAAACCTTTAATGGTGATAGATGAGAGATCTCAGTCAAATCAGGCAGGATTTAAATATCCCCAACAATGACCAATATGCCAATGTGCCAGGACTTCACCTTCTGCCAAAAATTGATTCAAAGTTATCTGTGAAATGTTATTGGGATAAAAATATCCATAGCAATAATGACATTAATAAGATTTTCTTTGCCATGATGGAAAAACAGTGGTTCCTGTGATGGATATTTACATACTTTCTTAGATGTGAGGTCATCTAGCTTGCTTGTGCTGTCTCTGTTCCTCTTCAGGACTTGGTTTCTCATAGAGGCAGGATATTTGCTCCTTTGCTTGGTTTCATGCTCAGATTTTGGACATTCTTCTGGTCCATCTCCATGACTTTTCCTGCTATTGGAACAGAAAATAAATACCCAAAGCAAACATTTACATTTCTTCCCTAACACTGAATTAATGGTTTTATCCATCTTGACTTCAGTATCACTCTCCTCTCTTCTCACCACAGGAGAGACTCTAATTTTTTAGAAGATATGAAGCAAAAGATTTGCAGCCTAGGTCTGTTGGAGTCCCTTTAATAAGGAACCACTGAACCACTTTTCTTCCTTTATATACCCTTAGCCTCAGACATTTCTTGGTTGTAAATCAGAAAGCAATATGTTTTTCTAATGAAACACAAATAAAACCATGTGCTTAAGTTCATCTTACTACTCTCATACTAGTATGGATAGTATCTGTACATTAAAATAGACCAAAGTGCTGGAAAATTGGTTTTGTCTACTTACTCATTCTCCTGCACACGCTGTGCCTTTCCCCTTTTCCTGCGTGATTTATCCAGCATGGAGATATTAACAGGAAACAAACCCTCCATCAGGTCCAAGGCAGTTTTTCTAAGAGGATGAGGCAAGAGAATGCCCACCAGAGATCTGTCTTTGGCAATGATCTCCAGAGCAAGCTCCTGGTACCGCTGCTCCTCAGAAGGCTGTAGCCTCCTCTGGGTGTCTCCCTCCAGGGGAACATCATCAGCGCTGCTGTGCAGGGATGTTTCCTGGGCAAGGAGACCTTTGCCTGGATGTTTGTGTCCTTGGTGAGGCCCAGCTGGTGCTGTGTGCAGATGCATCCCCTGCTCTGCATGCTTGAGTGCAGCACTCCCACCCAGAGACTGAGTTCTGCATTCTTCCTCCACTCCAGCACTCTCCTTGCTTCCATCTCCTGGGACAGGAATGGGGGTTTCAGGCGTCTGCTCCTTTTTATCCTGACCACACCCACGTCCAGTTATGTCATTATGTTCATCATTCTTGGGTCCATCTTTCTCAGGATCACAGAAACTGTAAGGAAGGAGAGAGTTCCTTTTACTTGGAAGAGATTTTTTGCAGACTGTTTAAGAGCTGTGATCAGATGTTTGTGATGTTATGGTTCTGTCTGGAACTTTCAGCTACTTTTATGCTAACCTGCTAAACCAGGAAATTTAAGAAAAAAAAATTCATTTTACATAAGCCATTCAAATGTCCAGAAACCATTGGGGTATTTTTGAAAGAGTGGAAATTTTTTTACTACCAGAGTCAGCATCATTGCCTTGCTGAGACAGAGTTCAGATGCTTATCTCCCTTGATGCTCCTCAAACTAGCAAACAAATATAGAGAGTTAAACCACAAACTTCCTAACTAGTGATGTGTAAACGGCACAGGTTTTTTTTCCTGTGGAAAAACACACCAAAATCCCCTATTGCAGCAGTCCTGCTCACACACACTCTCCAGGACTGGGTATCTCCGATGGAAATGCTGTTTTCTCCAGGCTCGGAGGAGGGAGCTGCGATCCCAGAGATCTGATGGAACAGGGACAGCTGCTCAGGGC